GGAATAATATTTTAGAATCGTAAATTAAGCCTTTACATTCAACAAAATATCTACTATTTATTTTAGTAAACAAACACCTAATTTTGATATATGATACTCCTTATGTCCCATTTTATAAGATTTTATAGTTGAATGCACAAAGATTGAAAAACCATTAAAAACATTATTTATTACTTAACTAAAACATTTCAATCTTTAGAAAAATATACTGCAGAATATAAATGGTCATATCATAATTAATTAATAATTTTTTTGCATATAAACATGAGAAAATCAAATAAAATAGAACAATTTTTTTCTAAAACATCTAAAAATGGGACATAGGGAGTGCATATAACATTCCATAAAATATAATTGAATAATCTAATCAAATATTATTTTGAAGATTTTTTTTCCGTGGCCAAATGATAATAGATTTATAATTATATAATATTTGGTAACTCTTCTTCATCGCTATAAACACGATGAAACACATGTCATATAATTTTTGGGATTGACATGAGGATATTTTGTCAAAACCAAACCTCTTCCGTTTCGAAGGATGTGTCCCAAGACGTTTTATCTTCTTCTTAATCATTTTTTGCTTCATTTCAAGAGTAATTTGTTTTTTACCAAAATCTTATCATTAACGTTAAATCTCTTGTCAATAAACTTTATAAATTGTTATAATAACATAATGAATAGCATGACAAACAATACAAAAAAACCCCGCAATATATATAACTTTGGTTACTATTATGTCGACTAATTAGAATTTCCCAAGTTAAGATCTTTGAGCAAAACCTTAGAAATATGAAAACCAGATCGTTGAAACCTAAAATAAGATTCTAAACCGTGACAAATATAAGTATATATGAGGTAGTTTTTTATTCACTTTGAAGATAATCAATTCTATTTTTTATGATACTTTAATTTTTTTCCCAATATCAATGTTACACTCTTTTCTCAATACCCACATTTTGAAGATGAGAAAGGATTCCCTCCCTCCTCCCACCCCCTTGCCCGAAATATTATGACATCCAATTTAGGATACCTGGAGAGTTGATTGAAGAGGTAAGTGTGTATAGTGTTTGGAACCATGTTTAAAGAAAAGAGGAGTTCCTAGAAATAATGGGGTTTAAACTATTTTCCTAGGTATTAGGTTATCTGAAGATACTTATGAGGGAATATCTCATTGTTATCTTCTTTTACGTATGTTGCCTCTTGATTCTTGTGTTCGTTTCTTCTTTTTCCCTCAAAGATCATCTTCCTCTCTTTCTTGGTTTTCTGAGTATTTATCAGAAAATGGCATATATATTGGTGTCTAGCTCGACCAATACTTTTTGTCTAATCATATCGCCCATAACTTCCATAGAATGGTTGGTGTTTTAATTTGACTGTTATAAAGCTAGATTTGTCTGTCACGGACAATGTAAATATTATTCTAACTATAAAATCATTCGCACAATGTAACTATAAAATCGTTCGTACAATGTAAAAAATTGAACAAAATTGACTACTCCAATGGTTGTAAAGGTATACTATATTACTCAGATATTAATCAAGATTAGGTAATCAGAAATACTAATTTACAATAACTAAAACGATATGCCTTGCACCGGACAGTAATATCAAAAATAAATAGTTTGGGAATGTAAATCAAGACTTTTCTTCGGATAATTGAAAACATGTGATATAATTTCTACAATCAGGGCTGTTTTGTTGAATCCAGTTTATACCGAATCCGAAAGATATGCCTCGAGAGTAATTTTTATAGATCATAAACTTAGAAAGAAGACAATTGTAACCATATGACTTTTTAAGACTAAGTTCTTTATATTCACGTGTGTATATAATCGGAGGATCAAATACGTGAGAAAGAATATATATATTTTTTTCCTGAAGTTGAAGTCGGCAGATATGACTAAAACCCTGTAGAAATAAATAAAAACTATTTCCTATTTAATTAGAAACCAAACATCATTATAGATTTACAAATTGGAAGTGAAAACAGAGCAACTCAGGCTTGATCAGTAACAAAAGAAAGGAAACTGGAGTTTTTGAAAAAGAGACAAACTCAATTTGTTTTGGCCAGATCTGTAACATGAAATATAATATTTTTAGGCGGTAAGAGTCCAATCCTCTATGCCATGTTTTGTATCCTCCGAAAAAACAGAGAGCATGAGTCACTGTGTCGATATGAAACAGTAGATGAAGAACCATACACTTC